AATATACAAAATATTCTGTAGGGACATTAGTAACTATTATTCACATATAACTGTCATAGATTGGATCTTCAATTCTTGAATTCTACTGTTAGGTATTATACAACTCTGCTTGTAACTGAATGACACTATTCAGGCAATCTGCATAGGATGTGTATATATGCCAAAAGAGACAGATAAAATGCATCATTTAACATAAACAGCAATAAGATTCAACCAACTCAAATAATTAAATGAAATAAGTACATGTTGATAATATAATGGTGTATATAAAAATAGTATTGATAAGAATACAATAAAAGTATGATTTCCTCAACTTCAGCATAAGAAGTTGATTACAACAGTGTCGGAAAAACTAAGCCGGTAAGGTTGATCTATGCAACGAATTTCCTATTATCATTCAACTATGAATCCATAATCCCAGGAAGCCAATTTGAAAAATACTTGATATTCCAACTTACATGAGATCAAATGGATTATGTACAGATGTTTATTGGTTAAAGTCAGTCGATGGAAAGTTATGTTTGATCTTAGTATCATGCTAGCTGGCGCTAGTCAACCAAATGGATATGGAGTCTTGAAAGAACTACTGCTTCTTATTGAAACAGGAATAGCTCAATGTTAAAGTCACAGACTATCTACTCAGGTAACAGTAGATCGTTTTTAACTGTGGCAATCATTTCCCTCAGAATTCTAGGTACGCCTTGTTGACGATAGACAACTACAACGAAAGTATGACCTGGGACTTCCTACCGACTAGCTCCGACCACTTAATAGAAATGAATAATTTCATTGGTCATTCATTTATCATGCAAGTTTATTAAATTAATCACATCACTATTTTATGCTCAACATTGACACTTACTGTAATGAAACATATATTACCGAAAAAATCATATGATAAGTATTATCTTAATCGGTTGGTGAGTACGTAAATTATCGCGATGTGACTGTACTTTTTAAAAGTAAATCATTCCGGTGTTAACTTGGTCACTGCAAAAACAAAAAGTTCTCAATTCAATATATTGTGGTGTCATAGATATACAGTTATCAAAATAAGACGACTGCTCAATACTCTCTGTTTTTCACTGATTGTCTAGCTATAGTCAATTAATGATATAAAACACAGATAACGACTGATAATTTATCAAGTCGAAATACCAAATTTTTTTCTCACCATAATCTTACTTGTTTCGAAATATTAGCCAAACATTTTTTTGTTCTTAATAATTGAATTAACGAGTCGAATGAAGCACTGGACGACCGTTTCACTCTAATACGGGATTCCTCGGCAGTGTACATTTATGATCCCTCACGTAGGACTCGAGCCCAGAACCTTCAGTTTCTCAGGAGAACGCCTAATCTCTTGTTTGTTTATCCATAATCAATGGTTGTGCAATTATATTTTTTCTTTACATAAATGCACATATCCGATTGATTTGTTGGCGAGACTATAACTTATGGACGACCTCTGGAACCATGATAAGGTCATAAAAACCCTCTCAGCCTCGACTACGTAGCTTCATTATTGTTTGCGTGTACTCCAGTTCTGTAAGTTTATCATTTTTCTTATGGAAATGTCCCTACAATACTCATACCACTGAACAACCGAAGCTTCAGTAACATCTGCGACTATTGTAGACAATGCTACTGGTGCTTTTATTATACAGTTGGCGGCAATTATTATAATATGTTTTAGTCTCAATCTGGATCGAGTGATAAAAGTTTCTTCAACATATATTGTGGTGTGAGCTACTGATATCGATATAAGTAGTATATATGGTGAGTAAGGAATAGAATATCTGACAGCAGAAGATTGAGAAGATCAAGAAGAGAAGAACAGAAATAAAGAGCAATTTGTGTGGAAATCCAGGAACAATGAAGCCTGAGGCAATTGAAGAACATTTTGCAAATAGTGTATCATAGCATGGTTTTTCCATTTTACCAAGTAACGTTGTAATTTGTGCTAAATACATAGTTGGTTGTCCTCACCTGTGTTCTCATTCACAACATTTGGTGTCGCTGCCTCCAAGGATGAAGATTCCATGGCCGAAGGAATTTGAGGACGGAGATGTGCTAAGCTTCCTGAAGGAGTTCGAAGCTGTGGCGGAGCTGGTGGGGGTGAAGGAGCCGAAGGCGAAGACGGTGGTGCTGGGGACGCTGCTGAGAGGCAGAGCGAAAGCTGTATATGACAGCCTGGACGGTGCGGGCGGTAAGACGACATGGGAGGCAGTCACGGAGCGGTTGACCGTGGAGTTCGATAGCCCAGTGGACAGAGAGGAAGCACTGCAGAAGTTCCGAGTGGCGAAGTTGCCGATCGATGGTGATCCGCTGGTGCTGGCCGTGGAGCTTACCAAGTTGCTGCGTCGCGCGCTGCCAAATCTGGATGAGGAGTCGGAGGCACAGTTGTTGGCGTCTCAGTTTATCGAGAGCGTGCCTGTTGCCGTTTCCCAGCAGCTGAGACTGGTACACGCCGCGCAACCTATGGATGTCAGTGAGCTTGCAAAGGTGACGCGACAGTTGATGACACAAACAGTAGCTCCGGTCGCGTGCGGAAGTCAGGAGATAAACAGCATTGAGAAGAAGATTGAAGAACTACAGCACGAGACCCACGTGGAAAGTTGGCGCGATGGATGATACGTCTGCAGGAGTATGACTTCAGTATCGGGCATGTTCCAGGGAAGGAAAATGTAATGGCGGACTATCTGTCAAGAACAGACATGGAAGCCGAGCTTCCATTGACAGCATACGCAGTGAACAGTATAGAGGGAGACCCACTAGAACTCGTCCGGCAACAGAAATCTGATCCTAAACTGCGAGAGGTAATCAGAGTGATAAGAGAGGGGGCAGATTTTGACAAACGAGCAATGGACAAGGAGGCAATAATGTTGCTTCGGCAAAAGGAAAGACTGAAAGTGAACACATATGGAGCTCTGGTCTGGCAGGATGATGACAAAAATTGGGTGGCTGTGATCCCGAAAGACTGGCGGCGTAAGATGATACACGAATGCCATCAGGTAGCGCACACTGGTATCGCAAGAACGACAGATTTACTACGGCAAAGTGCATACTGGCCAGGTATGAGAGACGATGTGGCCCAATATGTGTTGACGTGCCAGCAGTGCCAATTAATGAAAAGCGATAGATACATGCAACCGCCATTGCAGTCGGTCCCAGTAACCGCAGTTGGTGATCTGTGGTCGGTAGATGTGATGGGACCATTTCCACAGACGGATAGCTGCAACCGATACTTACTAGTAATGACAGAGCATGCTACACGATGGGTCGACGCTGTACCGATTGCCGACCAGCGGGCGAAAACAGTGACCGAAGTAATAATCCGGCACATTGTAGCAGGTCATGGAGTACCGAAGATGATACTAACCGACCAGGGTCCCTGTTTTGAAAGTGACGAGTTTAAGGCCCGTTTGAAGCAGTTCGGTATCAAGAGGATACGAACTACACCGTATCACCCTCAGACGAATGGGCTTACGGAAAGAAACAACCGGACATTAAAGGAATGGTTAGCATCTAAAGGAGGGAATTGGGAGAAAGAGTTACCACTAATTTTGCTGGCGCATCGTGCCTCCATCCAAAGAACAACTAAGAAATCACCTTTTCTACTTATGTATGGTAGACAGCCACGACTTCCGATGCATAATAAGACGTGGCCACAGCAGCAGAAGTGGACGGCAACAAGATTAAGGAAAGAGAGGACGGAGGCAATAAAGAACGTGAAAAAGAAACAAATATCAGACACCAAGAAGGTGGAACAGCAGAGAAGAGCATGGAAGCCCTTTAGAGTGGGGGACCTGGTAAAGTGTAGAGAACGGAGAGCTAACACTGAAGGGGGACCAGGGTCAGGAAAGCTGACCCCGAAATGGGAGGGACCGTACATTATCACGGAGAGACGCGGCCCAGTTTACACGATCCGGAGAGAAGACAAGCAGAAACGTGTAAATGCCAGTCAAATACAGAGATGGTTTCAGGAACATCATGAGCACGAGTCACGAACAGCACCAAAGGAGACAATGGTACGGCGATCAGAAAGATTGCGAGAACAGCTTGTTAAAAGGGGGGACGAGTGTGGTGTGAGCTACTGATATCGATATAAGTAGTATATATGGCGAGTAAGGAATAGAATATCTGACAGCAGAAGATTGAGAAGATCAAGAAGAGAAGAACAGAAATAAAGAGCAATTTGTGTGGAAATCCAGGAACAATGAAGTCTGAGGCAATTGAAGAACATTTTGCAAATAGTGTATCATAGCATGGTTTTTCCATTTTACCAAGTAACGTTGTAATTTGTGCTAAATACATAGTTGGTTGTCCTCACCTGTGTTCTCATTCACAACAATATTACATCGAAGGACAACATCATGGTGGTCTGCACAAAGTCTCCAAGTCATTTAATACTCGTAATTAGAAATACAGAAACTTCTTAGTAGTTTCATTTGTTGTAGCCGCTTAATTGTCAAGTCTTCTCTAAAATTCTCTGTAAACCGATCGTACATGAGCATCAGGTACTGAAATAGGCGCCATAACCTTGAAATACCTCAAACGCTCTTGATTGACTCGTCCACAATTTATTGTCTCGCCAAAGATTCCTATTCTAGAAGTATTCTTTCTCAAATATATATATTATATCGAAAGATAATATCATTACGGTAGTCTACACAAAGTGTACAAATCATTCGATTACCACAATCACATATGAAGGAACTTCTTATTAGTCCCATTTATTGTATTCACTCACTTATTAAGTTTTCTCTGATATCCACTATGAACAAATCATACATGAATATTAATTACTAAAATTAGCATTGTTACCCTGAAATCCCATAAGCACTTCTGATTGGCTCGTCTATAAATTATAGTCTAGCCAAATTATTTATCTTCATTTTGATTGGTTAATATTAATTATTATTCATCTCAATGCTGATTGGTTCATTCAAACATATATATATATATATATATATATATATATATATATAGTTCAAGTCACACTATTCATTTTTATTGCTTATATTAATTAATTTAATGAATAATATTATGTTAATAAGAATATTAATTACATTGATTATTATTTCATTTATTCTATTATGTGCTCTACATCCATCTATATGGTTTATTCTTCATAAAGAATTATGTTTAAAGAATAATAGTCAATTATATCAAAATTGGTTAAAACCATCTCTTCCAATCATGATCCAATTTTATTTTTTTAATATAACAAATCCATATGAATTTCAAAATGGCGCTAAACCTATATTAAAACAATTAGGACCATATACATATAATGAAAAACGTTATAAATACAATATTAAACATAATTATTTCAATGGAACTATTGAATATCAAGAATATAAACAATATTATTTTAATCCTAATCTATCTATTGGTGATGAAAATGATCTTATCACTCATGTCAATTTAGGTTTTGTTGCTATAGCAACTAAATTAAATTCGTTACCATGGTCAATTAATTATTTAATTGAATTATTTGAAAAATATCATCATTATAAATTGATACAAATTAAAACAATTAAACAATTATTATGGGGTTATAATGATCCCTTTTTAACATTATTATCTAATTATGGATTAAATATAAGCACAACCAAAATAGGTTTATTATTAAATCATAATAATACATTAAGTTCTACTATATTAATAAATGATGGTTTAAAAATTTATAAAAATCAAGGTAAAATTTTAAAATTTCATCATCAAAATTATTTAAATTATTGGACAACTAAAACAGCTAATATGATTAATGGTACCGATGGTACTATATATCATTTGTTTATGGATAAATTAGAGAAACCATATATATTTGCATATGATTTATGTCGTTCAATTCAATTGATAAAGCATTCAGAGATACATATTAGTAATTTACCAGTATATAAATATATTTTATCTGAGGATACATTTAAATCTGGTCAATTATATGAAAAGAATAAAGGATTTTGTTTAAATTGGTCAAATTGTTTTAAAGATGGTGTATTAGATATGTCATCATGTCAACCTAATGCACCGGTTGTTGTATCACAACCACATTTTTTAAATGTATGTTTTTCCTTTTTCTTTATATGTTTGTTTGTTTGTGTGTCATATTTTGATAATTTGAAATATTCATATTAATTTTTATTTATTAGTTAAATTGATTGAGCAGGTTTGTATAGTTAACAATCAGTGAGATATTTATATTATTGTAGTGAATGAGAACATCAATGGGTACAATCAAATCTATTTGAATATAAATTATAGAATCTCTTAGTAGAATTTGAGACTTACTTACTCAGTTACTCGTGTTACACCTCTTGGAGAAGTATAGGTCACCCATCAACATTGTCCATTGAATTCTCTCATCAACAATTCTTCCCAGTTATTTAAACTTGCTAATCATCCTTTCCATTTCTCTTCAGGATTTCAAGTTAGCCCGTGCTTCATGATTCATTTTGATGAGTTCTGTTATGTATGTTCTATCTACATCCAACATCTTTTCCAAATTTCCTCCTCAGCTAGAAGCTGGTTTGTCTTCTCCTACAGTTACTGATAATATCCGGTCAATGGACAGTGAGTATTATTCGTAAACAATTGTTTATAAATATTTGTACACTTTTGATGATGGTTGTAGTAGTAAAATGTCAATCAATCGTCTCAGATTTCATTGTTCTTTCATTACCACATCAATCATTCTTTGTTCTTGTTCTTTTGCCTTAAACCTTTTTAACCTTCTGTCACCAGACATTTGACTTTCGATTGATGTTACATACTATTTATGCCTCTCGAAATCAGTAGCATACACCATAGGATGACTGATGAGATTGAAATTGACTGGGTCGATACAAATAGCCTATATTACTGATATTGGTAATGACCTTGACTACTTTATGTTCATTAGTAATCAGTGAGTCGATAGATCGTCAAATTCATTAGTCTTTCTGAAAAATGGAATAAAATCTAAATATATAGGATCGTCTATTGTAACTTATGAATCTTCCAACGATTATAATAAGTTTCCTGATAGATTTTTGTTCTCTGAGATGGCTGGTTTGGTCATAGACCTTTCATCGTTATTCTGAACGAAATCATCAGCACAAACTTCAAGTAGAAGTGAAGTGTTCGAATTCCTCCAAATATGACTCACAGTTTATCATGTAGACCTCGATGTTAATTGGTTATTTTTGATATTTAACCTGTCATTGTTTACTCCTGAGCAACAAATCTCCACCATCTCAAAGATATATATAGCCTTTATCATAAGCTTTCATTTGACCTATTGGCTATTATTTTACGATTTACCATTGTTAACTTATTTTCAATCTGTTAGTTACAGTATCACGAACTCACAAACATTTTTGAATTTATCCGGTATAATTATTATCACTTCTACCTCAAGTTTGTGCTGATGATGTTCTTCGGAATAACGATGGAAGATCATGATCAGTATTGACTTCATGGTTAAATCTATTTGACTTTTAACAATTACTTATTGCTTACTCCTATCACACCTCATGGAGGAGCATAGGTCATCCACAAGCATTCTCTATCCAACTCTGTTATCGACAGTTATTCCCAGTTGTTATTCATCCTTTTAATCTCTGCTTCCAACTGCTGACTCAGTGTGTCCTTTGATCTTCTACTTTTGCATTTCTCTTTAGAATTCCAAGTTAGCGCATGCTTCGTGATGCTGTTTGGTGATTTTCTCAATGTATGTCCTAACCACCTTTAGTATATTTTTCTAATTGCCTCTTCAGTTGGAAGTTGGTTTGTCTTCTCCCACAATAGATTGCTGCTGATGGCATCCGGTTAACGGATAGTGAGTATCATGCGTAGACGACTGTTTATAGATACTTGAACTTTCCTGATGATAGTTGTAACATTTCTCCTCGTTTCAGTTCCGTACAGTCAGACTGTGTTGATGTTCGTATTGAAAATTGTGACTTTGATGTTTGTTGACATTTTTTTCGGTCCCACATATTCTTTAGTCATAAAAATGCTACTCTTGCCTTGCCAATTCTCTCATTTACGTCTGTATTGGATCTTCCTTATTCTTCGATGATGCTTCTCATGTACGTGAACGATTCCACCTCTTCCAGAGCTTTTCCATCAAGTGTGATTAAGTTGATGCTACAGGCGGATTTTTTTATAGAACTTATAACCAGTAGGTTACAAGACTAATCAAGACTAATTACCTTAACTTCTATTTGAATGACCAGATAAAACAGCCAACTTGAAGCTGATTATATAAACAAGAAAGTAACGTCAAGTTAGTCATTAGGTAAGAGAAGAGATAAGTACATAAATCCACCACAATGGTTACTATAGTCAATATTGAAAGTTTCTATGCTGCTGATCCAGTCAAAATCAGGATAGTGTTCTTTTTATTCTGTGTGATAGCTAACATTTTAGGGAGATTTCTCCTTCATTTAAGTGGATGAGAGCTGTATATAAGATCATGATTCTCACCAGACATTTCATTTCACTCCATTAAACCTATCTGTATAACCAAACTCACAAGATGAAAATAAGTGCTTGAAATGAAACCATCAATGGAAATTATAATCTTACATACAATAGCCAACCACTAAATGAAAGGAAGATTTTCCGAAAATACCTAGATACATTAAACATATTGAATATTATCAGACGGGGGTTTTGTGGAGATTTCAGACTCATAATCTCAACTATATAAAAAATTACTAAAATCTCCACAAAACCCCCTTCTGATAATGATTATATGCTCACTAGTGACTGGCTCCATGAGGTATTTCCTGGAGTTCTTGTGAGAAGCAGTAACCAGTGGAGTTCAACCACGTCTGTTGTGAGATAACAACTCACTAAAGGCAATTGGTGAACGGTTTCTCAATTTCGTGGATTGGTTGAAGTTAGACATCAACACCGTTGGATGCTGGTCGGCCGGCTCAGTGGTCTATCGGTTAAGTGCCCTGGCGCGAGTCTGATAAGTTCTGGGTTCTAATCTCGCAAGGCTGGATCGTGGATGCGCACTGTTGAGGAGTCCCACGGTAAGACAAAACGGCCGTCCAGTGCTTCCAGATTTTCCATGTTGGTTCAGCTTCAATTGACTCATGATCTGAACTATATAAAATATTGAATGTTGTAAAACGGATGTACTACAAATTTGCGGACATGCGTACTATCTCTCTAATATTTAACTTAATATGAACTTGACAGGGACTAATCACAGAATTATTATTAAAACTATGAGCAATCGTTCAAAAGAGCATTTAAGATTCCATGATGAATCCGAATGAATAATAGTCTTCTCTAGATTGAATGGGATTTTATCACGAATATAGTCAACGTGAAAGTAGAGTAAACCTATCGAGATGATGGAGAAGATTTGTATCTCAGGTGGACTATTTTGATGGAATCAATTAGACGATTTGGAATTCTCAGATGACCTAGTTCTCCTGTCCTTGGACCACCAAATAATTAATTCAGCTGTTAGGAAACGGCTACTAGGTAAGAATGGCAAATCGATTGATGAAGTAGTGAAACTTCATCAGTTGAGTTAGCTGGGACACATGTTACGTATGCCCAACCACCGACTGCTCTGACGTGCGATGTTTTGTGATGTAGGAGCAGGTTGGAAGAAAGCTAGGGGCGACCAAACCAAAACATGGCACAAATCCATGAAGTCACTGACAATTGCACTGAGCCATGTTGGTAGTTGTAGACTACCTGGTTGAGATTCACGAGATGATAGCGACCGATGGTTAGAGACCTTGAATGACATGGCTCAAAATCGTTTGCAATAGCGAAGGTACATCCGCTCTTTGTGTTCTACCAAATTCTAATCTTCTGAATTCTTCATATCTCTATCCATTTTCTCTTTTCAAATTTATTTCATTGGATTATACTCCTTGAATAACCTCTTGAAACCCTAATCTTTCACATTAATGCCTATATTCTTACCACTTCTACCACTATGGAATTTGAATCGACAACTGCATCTTTGTGGTAATGTGGTATGGCAACTCGAAGTGATGTATGTACGTACGAAGTTCTACGTTGTAACTGACTGACTGACTGAGTCCTCCTGTCCTATACGCATGAACAAATACAGACGAAGACGACTAATGTAGCAGTAGCCTCTGCATTAATTGGCCTCAAGATGCACAAAGGAAAAAGCAACATTCTCAAATACAACACGGAAAACACCAAGCAAATCACACTTCATGATGAAACTTTGGAAGAGATGGCAACATTCACGTACCTGGGAAGCATCATTGATAAACAAGGAGGATTCGATGCAGATGTAAAGGCGAGGATTGGCAGAGCAAGGGCAGCATTTTTACAATTGAAGAACATATGGAACTTAAAACAACTGTCAACTAACTTCAAAGTGAGAACGCTCAATACGAACGTCATAACAGTCCTACTGTACGGAACTAAAATTCGGAGAACTACTAAGACCAGCGTCAAGAACGTGCAAGTATTTATAAACGGTTGTCTACGGAAAATACTCAACATTCACTGGCCGGATACTATCAACAACAGCCTTCTGTGAGAGAGGACAAACCAGATTCCAGCTGAAGAGAAAATTAGGAATACATATTGGAATTGGATAGAACATATATTACGAAAATCACCAAACTGCTTCACGAGGCAATCCCTAACTTAGAAAAGAAGGCCAAAGAACATATTACGCAGAGAAATAGAAGCAGATAGAAAAAGGATGAATGTTAGCTGGAAAGATCCATCAGTGTATACTGATGTGACTTGATTGATCTACAAGGGTATATTTTATTACATATTACATACTTTTATAAAGAGCTAAGTCTGGCCAGAAATATAATTCTGATGTGTGGGAGAGAATGACAATGACTGGTTGTTTTGCTGAGTCAGACATTAGATAGGATTACAAGTGTTATATATGTTGTAAATATTCGACTATCTTGACTGTTATTGATTGACTGTTCCTTATTGTTGGATTGTGTCGGATCTCGGTGTGGAAATATACTGACGTTCTAGTCAAGCCAATCTTGTGTTCTTGATCTGAGTTGTGTTGAAGTCCTGTAGAATAGACCCTGGGTGGG